TGTATAATCATTTGATATTTATGTACATACATACATTATTAACATATTTATGTATATCCATACTATATGAATGTACATGTGCATATATATATATACATTCATTATCATACATAAAATGTTATTAAGAAAAAAACACAATAATGTTTTGTATTGATTATAAAAAAAATAAAGATTATGTTTAAATAAAGTGACAATTTTCTGATATATACGAGTATATATATATATATACATAAATATATATATGTATGTATGTATATGCCTATGTACATATATCAGAATGAGATAACAATAAATAAACAAAATTTATGTATATACTAAATTTATATATGTAACATTTTTTGGGTATATTTGTCAAGATTATTATTATTATGTGACAAAGTAAATTTAACCTGTATGTACCTTTACTACTTACTATTTATATATATATGTTTGTATAATTGTGTATATATATACATAGATATACATAATAATTTAGTTTTTGTTTTTATTGTTTTATTTTTTTAATTTGAAAAGCTTTCTTCCCGTTTTAGAAATTCATTCACAATAATAAAAGAGAGACAGACGACGACAGTCAGAAAAAAAAATATTAAAGTATATAGTACTGCATGTAATTTAAGTCAGTCAGTCAGTCATAATTGAATACTCGTTGCGTTAATACCTAAACTAATAAAAAAAAAATTAACAAAAATTAATTATTAAAAAATTATAAAATTAAAAATAAATATATTTTTTTTTAGTATTTAAAATATAAATTTTATTGAAATAATTAAAATTATAAAAAAATTCCGAATATTAACAAAAATTTATTTAAATACAAATACATTAAAATCAAAAGTATTTACTTAATAATAAAAATCGAAATTATTAAAATTATTAATTTATTAATTTAAAAATAAAGGAAAACTAAATAAATTAACAAGATTTAATAAGAGTCGAGTAGAAAGAGAATAAGGATTACGGTCATTTTAAACATTATAAGATTGTTACCTCCACATATAATAATTGCATACAAATATATATAACAGATAAATATATTTTAAAAAATATAAATTTAAATTTACATATATGAATAAAAGGAAATACCTTCAACTTAAGTACGTTTTAATTATAATTCAATTTTTTTTTGTCTTAATAGATTTTTTAAATGCATAATATAGAAATTATATAAGTGTTATACTAATTATATTCAATATATTATATACATATAATAACTAATATAATTTTTAACAAAAAAAAAAAAATTATTTTTAAAATAAAACAATAGTGAATTTATTTTTAAATTCAAGTATAATAATAAAGTTATTAAAAAAAAATCAATTAAATGCTATGTATAACAAAAAAAAAAATACAGAAAAATTACTTAGATTAATTAGAATAATAGTTAGAATACTACCTTGATTTAAATATTTCTTATAATTAAACTTTTCTTCTACTTTTATATTTTATATTTATTTTCAATATATTATGTGTGTGCATTTGTACGTATAATAACTTAACTTTTGTATGATTCACTTGTTTATTGTATTTTGTTATATTTATTTTATATTATGTTTGTATATGTATGAGTATATGAAATATGCATAAAATTTTCGGTAAATATTAATTCCTGTCTTTATATATTGTTGATATATATTGTTGATGATACAATGATATCCCTATAGAATGAACGCTCAAAATCTCACAAATTTTGTTCATAATATAAAGATAGACAGCTGTTTTAAAATTGAAAACAATTTTATATATAATGTAAAATTTGTAAAAGTTAAAAATAAAAATTATTAGTGAAACAAATGTTTCGTTAAATAGAAAATTTTTGTTATATAGCGTGTTCAATATATAGAGATTATACTGTAGATAATAATAAATACATATTTGATTTTGTTTTATTATAGGACAAGTTATAAAATAAAGTAGTTAATTAAATTAGAATTTTGAATAGATTTTTTAATTTTGAAATTAAATTAGAATATTTGTGATTTCGGATATTATGATTTAGGAATAAATTCCAATTTGAATTCGAGTTTTTAGTGGGATTTTGAAAATATTGCAATTTTAAAATTTTCTCATGAATTATTATTTTAATGTTAAAGTTGCTTTTGAAAATTGAATTCAATTGAATTCTGAGATTTAGAATTTTTTTTCTCAAATTTAGAATTATTTTGGAAGTGCTGTCTTTGGTCAGTCAAAATTTTAGTTATTAAAATTTTTGTTTTCTAATTTTTCTGTTATTGTAAGCAGTTTTCTCTTAATAAGAGAATCAATAAGAGTATAATAAACCCATTATAATTTTTGTATAATAACATTGATTTACTTTTCAATTTAATTTTGAATTTGTTATAAAATCGTAGTTTTATGGTGCGAATATTGTAAAATTTAATCAAAAGAGGGCAAAAAATTTTCACTTATCATTTTATATTATTTCATTTATACATTAATAATTTTTGTATGAATTCAACATTTCGGGTGAAACAAGTAGCTATTTCAAAAATATTTTTGTATCTATTTAAAAGTTTAATTCATTTGATTAACAAGGTTAATAATATTTTCATTATTATCATTAGTTTCATTAATTTTATATAAATTTTTATAAAATAATATACTTTCACCTGCTTTTTACTATTATATCGTATAATAAATTAACAAAATAAGATAAAGTATAGAAAAGCAATAGAAAATTTTAATTTTTAATAAATTTCCATTATGTTTGAAGTTATTGTTAATTCACATTTTAATCTTAAAATTGAGTACTTTTTATATTTGTTGCAAATACTGCAACTTGGCAGTATCTATTGTTTATCTTTATCTAATAATAGTTTATGAACTTTACTGTTATAAACTGCTCACTATTTCAAATAAAATTGTAAATTGTACTAGGACATATTGTATACTAGTATATATTGTTAGTAACTGTTATATTTGCATTTTTGCGCTGCGGTACAGCATGTAATTTCCAAACGTACTTTTTTTGTGATCTTTCCTACCGAAATTCAATTATTTTTGTAAATTTTAAAGAAAAAAATCAAAATTTAAAGAAAAGAAATGCCTATAACATTTTTAATTAATGCGAAAATTTAAAGTATTTTATTAAATTTAATTTTGTATCTCTTCTAAAAAATTTATTATATTTGATCAAATTCCATGGCCCATTGCTATTTAACTTTTGAAGCCCTGAATTACTGACATTAAAATGTACAAATTTTTTTGTTTTTTTTTTTTTTTAGAAAAAGTACAAAGTAATTTTACCAGGAAATAATTGATTTTTTTTGTTTTCCTAAAAAAAAAAATCGTGTGGGCACAAAAATATAAAAATTCTTTCGGTTATATATTAATATTCATTACGATAATTGCTAATGACGCATAGGAAATTGTTATTAAAAAAAAACAAAAAATTTCTTTTTGTTTCATTTTTTTTTTTTCGAACTCCTTAAAAAATAAGAATTGATTTTATATCAAAATAAAGGTCATATCAATAAATTATCAATTACAACGTCCCCAATTTAACCTCTTACTTCTCATCATATATCCCATATATGTATAATGTAGGTCTTTACTTAAAACAACTAACTATTATTGGTATTTTCATACATGTGAATTAGTTTTTAAAGAAGAGGAGAAGAACAAAAATACAAAATATTATAATAATAGCAATAGTGAGTAAATGTAACAGTAAAAAAAAAAATTTACGATATTGCATGTAGGTGTCTCTTTTTTTGATTTTTTTTTATATCCGAGAATAAGGACATTTTTGTGTTTATGAATTTATTATTTTCGTTTTGTATGTTATTATTTACCATTTCGGTAAGTTTTATTATGTAGGTGCTTACATGAAAGTAATATTAATTTAAAGAATTATCATTCACGTATACGGGAATTAACGGAATATTTAATTTAAGATTATTTTAAGTTTAATCTATTTCTATTTTTAAAATAGTATATCTATAGGTTTTTCCTTAGAATTCAAATAGAATAGAAATTCTAGATGATATAATAATAATTGTATAATTAATTTATTAATAGAACAATTTCTAAAAATAAAATAAACATGAATTAAATATGGAGTATTTTAAATTATAAATTATAAATTTTTATGCTTATATGCAAATAAGTAATTACCTTATATGTACTTACATACTAAATTACTATTGAATTTATATTAATAATAAATTAAAGCTTTGAGTAATTATTGTTAAATATTATAAAACTGTTTTTCTGAAAATTACGTAGAAAATGTAAAGAAAAATTCCCTTGCATCATAACTAAAGAGGCAACAATCATAAATATTTAATTTCTTTATGAAGAATTAGTAAAAAAGCTTAATTATAAAAAAAAATCTTTCTTTTACATTTTTATATTTTTATAATTGGGGTTTTCAGAATTAATTCTTCTAATTTTTTTTTTTTAATTTTAGCTCATAGTTAGTAGCAAAATTTTATGAATTTGGTTTTTTTTTTTAATTTTTTTTTTGTCATTTGTTTTTTTAACGTGCCATGCCATTCATTATTAATTTATTCTGTGCGCAAATATTTTCACACAAGTTATACAAAATTTGCTGTGCTGTTGCGCTGTATAATTATAAAAGCACACATAGGGAAAACTTATTTGTTTCTTCAAAATATTATTGTTTTCTGTAAATCAGTAAGCATTATTAAGTTTTTGTGTAAACATTAAACATATAGTTAGTTAATCTTAATTATTGTTTAATCAAAATTGAGACCTTATATATCAAATTAATAATTATAATAATTGTAATTATTAAAAATGTTGTAAGGAATTATTGAAATATTATTATTATTATAAAATTATGAAAATTTTTATTAAAATTGAAAAGAAAATTTTCAAAAAAAACTGTTGAGGATTTTCGATGATTCAGATATTGCACTGAAAATTCTAAATTAAATCGTAAAATTTTTTGCACAACCATATATACAAAAATCTGCAAAAACTAAATATTTTACTTTTCAAAATTTTTTAATTTTAATTTTTTTATTTACTTTTTACAGATGGTTTCATGGTAATCTTTCTGGTAAAGAAGCAGAAAAACTATTATTAGAACGTGGTAAAAACGGTTCATTTTTGGTTAGAGAATCTGAAAGTGATCCAGGGGATTTTGCATTAACTGTTAGAACTGATGATAAAGGATCTTCAGAAGATAAAATTACACATGTAAAAATTAGATGGCAAGTAAGTAATTACGTTCGGTGGAAAAAAAAAAATTCAAAACTTAATTATTTTTATGTTTTATTTCACTTTTTTTGTAATGTCTTGTTATTGCATTTTTTTTTTTTAATTAAACAACTTGTTTCTCAATTTGGTCATAATGACTTTGAAGTTTATTTAACAAGTATTATTTAATTTGTGATTTAAAAGTTTTTTAATTGAAGAGTTTTTCTACATTTACTAGTAGCTATTACTAATTATTTATAATATTATAAAGAAAAAATCTTCTAAAATCTTGAATTCATAAAAAAGTAAAACCATAAATGAATGTTCTATAAATTCAATTGATTTATTATAAATTAACAACTTCAATATTTTTATTATTCTGCTTCATTTTTTGTGGTTTCTGTGGTTTTAAAATAAAAAGGTTAAATTTTTTTTTTTGTAATGATTTGTAAAGTTGGTTTTATTTTTGCAATATAAATGCAATAAAAATAATAATTATTAATGACTAAAAAAAAAAATGAAATAATATTAATAAAAATCTTGAATTTTTGTTTTTTTCTAGGATAAAAAATACGATATCGGAGGTGGTGAAAAATTTTCCACATTATCAGAATTAATTGCCCATTATAAAGAGAATCCAATGGTTGAAACTTGTGGTACTGTTGTGCAGCTAATACAGCCATTTAATGCTACTAGAATAACAGCAGCTGGAATTAGTGCCAGGGTCGAAAAATTAAATAAGGTAAAAAATTAATAAATGAAAATTATAAATGTTATATTAAATTTGTGTATATTTTAGGGTGGTTTCTGGGAGGAATTTGAATCTTTACAACAGCAAGATAGTCGTGATACATTTTCTAGGCAAGAAGGCAGCAAAATTGAAAATAAAAATAAGAATAGATATAAAAATATTCTTCCATGTGAGTTTTGTTTTAAAAAATTTAATCTGTATTTTTTTTTTTGGTTTCTAGTTGAAATTCTAGTTGAAAGAAACAAAAAAAAAACTTAGCGAAATATTGAGAAAATTTTAACAAAATGTTATTTATAGCAAAATTGAATATGAGTTCTTTTTAATACGTACTGCTTTTTCTTTTTAGCCATTTATTAATATTAAAGGTGTGAAATACATAACAAATTAACACATTTTGTACCAGTCGCTTAAATTCATAACACACATGCTTCAAAAAATAATCAAATACAAAAACAAACTGCTGTTGTTTTTCTTTCCAAAAATTTCTTTTATAAATTTTACAAAATTTCGTGTATATCTTATGTATTTGTTAAAACAATTTTCATTTAAAATCAAATATTGATTTTTAACTATATTGACTTCAAAGTAGTTAGTAGCTCAAAAAACAAACACAATTATAAAGAATAATCTAATGGAATTTTAATCTTATTGTATAAAAATAAAAGTAGACGTATGTCAAATTTCTTTTATATTATCCATTTATTTGTTTTTAGTTGAATACGTATAAAAAATTTTTTTTTTTGTTTAAATTTCATGTTTTTAATTACATACATATTTTGCTGTATTATTCCAAAGTAATTGATTTTAATTTTTTATTTTTATTATTATATTTTAGTTGATCATACACGTGTTAAATTAAAAGATGTTGATCCAAATATTAATGGTGGAGAATATATAAATGCTAATTATATACGTTTACCAAGTGATTCAGAATATTGTAATTTTAATTCATCATCTGAAAATTTAAATAATAGTATACATCAACAATGTCAGGCATGTTTAGCTGCACAACAACAAAAATGTTGCCAAAATTGTCAAATGTTAAATAAAATATGTGTACAATGTGCCATGAAATCTGTATCACCATCATCAAATTGCACAAATTGTAATAAAAAATCAGATACATTAACAAGTAGACATAAAAGAAGTGAATCAATTACATCATCTTCAATTAATAATGGAAGTAGTATTAGTAGTGGGACAGGTGGTTGCGGTTCCGCTAATGATAATAAATCACAAAAAAATGAAAAAGAAATGTTTAAAACATATATTGCGACACAAGGCTGTTTACCGAATACAATACAAGATTTTTGGAATATGATTTGGCAAGAAAACACAAGGGTTATTGTGATGACGACCAAAGAATATGAAAGAGGTATATGCACATAAAAGAATTTTGATCATTTATATTTGAAATTCTTTTTAGAAAAAACAGAATGTATTGAAATAATTTTTTTTTTGTTTCAGCAAAACAAAAATGTGCAAAATATTGGCCTGACGAGAATCAAACAAAGGAATGGGGCTGTGCTAAAGTAAAATGGGTCGCCGAAAGCTCTGAAAAAGAATATAAGTTAAGAGAATTTTTATTCTCGTGGAGATCTCAACCAGAGCGCCGAATATATCAATATCATTTTATTGGATGGCCAGATCATGGCGTACCCAGTGATCCAGGTTGTGTTTTAAATTTTTTATATGATGTTAATACCAGACAAAATCAGTTAAGCCAAGCTGGGGAAAATCCTGTAAGTTTTTCAAATAAAATTTAAAATTTCAAAATTTATATTAATACTTATTTTTAATTTATAATTAGGGACCTATTTGTGTACATTGTTCTGCAGGAATAGGACGTACTGGAACCTTTATTGTGATTGATATGATCTTAGATCAAATTGATAGAGAAGGTAAATATTGTAATAAAATTTATATTTTATCATATAAATTATAATTTTTTTTTTTTTTATTAAATTCATTTTTCTTTGCTCATTTTAGGTTTGGATACTGAAATTGATATTCAAAGAACAATTCAAATGGTTCGTTCTCAACGCTCTGGAATGGTGCAGACTGAAGCACAATATAAATTTGTTTATTATGCTGTGTTATATTATATTCAAACATTATTCCAGAGGAAGCGTGCTGAAGAGCAAAGTTTACAATTCGGTCGTGAATATACCAATATTAAGTATGTGGATGATTTTTATGTTTAGAATTTTATAATATTTATTTTAATTGATATTGTTTAAAAAAAAAGTTAAACTAAAAAAAAACAATAAAGAAAACTAGTAAAAATAAATAGAATTTATAAAGCAAAAATAAAATATTTACAATAAGATATATATAGGTGTTTAAAACGATTTTTATTAATAAAAGAAAATAATTTAATTATTAATTTTAAGATTTTATGTATTTATTTTGTTAATATTTAGATTTAGAATTTTATATTTTAGAAAGAAAAAGAAATAAAAGTATTACAAATAAAAGTATTTAATAACAAATAAACGCTACAGAAAGGAAAATTGTGAATAAAAAACTTTTATATAGATATTTATATATTTTATATACACAATAGGTTTAATTTTCTTTTTATCTTATTGAAATTTTAAACATTAAATATTTTTAAAACGGTAGAGAATTATCCTTGCATATACGGAAACAAATTTTATTTAAATATTATATGATATTATTATTTTATATATTTTTGCCTTCATCTCAAATATATCAAAAATCTTTTCAATTTTGTATATGACTGAAATTTTTTTTAGAAATCTTACCCTAAGTAATCTCATTTAAATAATCAAAATGATCAAACTGACATAAATTAAATATATTTTGCAATAAAATGTTTGTTTTAATAATATTTTTTTAAGGGATGAAAGTATTTACAAACGAAAAACTCCTTTACACCTTAAAGAAGTTTTTCGTTTGTATTTTCTGTACATACGTTTAAATTATTTCCTATATCTTAAGATTAATGTTTTTATTTATAATAACATTAATTTTAAGAATAATTTGAAATAGAAATGAATCAATGATCGCAATAATCAAAATGCAAATCTTTTTATGCTTTATGGGTAAACTTTAAAGCATATAAAATATATAATTATTTATAAATATTTTCATTTCCTAAAAATGGTAAAATAAACAAACTCATATCAAATTAACGAAATTATTTTAAAAATAATAAATTTTCTTTATAGAACGTTACTGAACCAAAAAGAATGACCTTGACCCATATTTTATTCTGTAGCTTTTTTGTTATACTTTTATGATCTTTCATATTTTTCAAATAGATCTGTTTTTGTATAATTTGCAAAACTTTCACAATTCATTAAATATGCTAATATGAATAATTTATATATTCGCATATATATAATACTGTGAATCATTTATATGTATATTACCTGTATGATTTGTGCTTTATGTCAAATTAAATCCACCATTCAATTTTATTTTTTTTTATGTTTATGACTAATAGTCTGTGCAATTTCCGCTTCACAAATTCAAGGTTAAATTTTGTGTCGCAGAATAATAGTTATAATAATAACAGAGATATAGCTAGGTAGTTTTCTTTAATAACAGGATGTGATAAATTGAAAGATATTAGAATGTTTTTTTTTTTTTAAATAGAAACGCATTATAATGTTAAAATTTAAGAAAGTAAATTATTTTTTTTTCATAATTCCTTTTATAAATAAAAAAAATTTATTCTACATTGGATTGTTTTCACTTGATATTGAATTTATATTATTTTCCTTTTAGGTATACTGGAGATATTGGAACCGAATTAAGATCTCCTTTACCACCGTCAATGTCTAGCTTAAGTATAACTAACAAAAATCAAGATAATCATAATATTAGTAATAAATTGGTTAAAAATAAATCGCCAATCGATCAATCAACTCCAAAGAATGAATTTGTTTCTCAAACAGGTATTTTATAAAAATATATATTAATATTAAAGTAAATTATAAAAATATAATTTTATTTTAATTAATTATTTATATAATAATGATATAATAATTTTGTTTTAGCATATGAGAACATTCCTAAAGACGTTAAACCACCTCCACCACCAAGGAAAGCATGACAAATCGATGTTTAAATTTTATGTATACTTTTTATATTTACATCTTACATTATATTATAATATATAAAATATAAAATGAAAGAATAAATAAAAACTAAAATAAATAAGAAAGAGAAAAAATGTTAAACCTATAAATAGAAATAATAAATATTTTAAAATATATACTTTTTTTTTCGAATTGGGCAAATTTTTTATAATAAGAAAAAAGTTAAACGGACAAGTCAAAAAAAAAAAAGTAATTTTTTGGTGATAATTTAAAACAAACAAAAAAAAGCAAGTAAATTTCAGTAAACAAAATTAATATAATATAAAAATAAAATCAATATTAATCATTTTAAAATGGCTATAAAATAAGATGAAAAAATTTTTATTTTCAATTTTACAAAATCTTTTTTTATTTTAACACTTTTTTTCTTTATGCCTCCTTTTTTTTGTTCTTTTGTGTATTTATCTTAAAATTATAAAAATTTGAAATGTTTGTACTATTTTTTACTAGTTTTTAAAAAATTTTATGATATAAAATGTTGTTCTCAATATTTTTTTTTTTGTATTTTAAGTAAAAATTTTTATGTTTTAATTTAATTTTCATTTATTATTGTATATTGTAATAAGTACATATTTGTAATTTTTTTTTGCTAAATTTGCATGTGATATTAATATTTTTATACCAGAAAAGTAATTGTTTATTATTCCATTATTATTTTAAAAACAAAACAAAAAAAAATATGAAATGAAATAAATTTGCAAAACTAATACTAAAACTTTTGAAACAAAATAGGAAAAAAAAATACAAAAAATTAACATTATAAATATAATATTAAAAAAATATATATTTCATTCAATTATTAATTATTATTATTATTATTATTATTATTATTATTATTATATTAATTAAAAAAGATTTTTATTTTAAAGTATTATTAAAAAAAATATTTTAATTCTTTAAAATTTGATTGGAAAACAAAATAGAAACAAAATTATTATTTTTTTATAAACAGAATTTGTAATATCTGAAAAATTTTATTCTAAATTAGGAAAAAAATTAAATCTTTTTAAAAAAAAAATCTTATAACATATTATTTTATCATAAATTTTGTTAAAAGAAAAAAAAAACCAGTGTAAAACCCATTATAATCATATAAAAAAAAATAAATAATATAAAATATTTTTGTTAAAGTTTGTTAAATTATAAAATGCGCAAGTTTTAAATAAAGAAAAAAAAAACCGTATCATAAATAATTTTTATGTGTAATTAATAATTATAATTAATGCTTTTTAATTATTAAAAAATATATATATATTTTTTTTGTTTATTACATTACTTGTAAGATCTAATAGATATACATATTATGTATTTAAAAATATAAAAAACATTTTTTTTTTTAGGTATTATGTTCAATAATTATTGATAGGCACATAATTTTGGGGATTTGATAAAAAATATTTAATTGTTTTAATGTGAACACAAAATTATCGACATTTATAAGTTATATTATAAAAAGAAAAAAACCAAGTTTAAGAAAATTGAAAAAAAAATAAAACCAAACTAATGAAAATTATGTATAAAATGAAAATTGAAAATAAAAGAAAATTACAGCAAGATTCTTAATTAAATTTAAAAAAAATTTAAAATTATATAAACAATAAAAACAAGAAAATATTTTAATAAAATGTGTGTATTAGAGAATCTACATTATCATTAATATTATAATTAAATAAAAAATATTTAATTAAATTAAAAAAAAAAAAAAATAAACCAAACATATAGTAAACAGATGATTGAAATAAAGAATCATAATTAAAACAAAAAAGAAGAAAAAAAAACACAAAAAAAAAAAAACAAAAATTCATTAATAATTTATAAATTTTATGTTATTTTAAAATGTATACCTATGGATTTAATAACACCTATATTATTTACAGATTTTTTATTGCCTATACACACATAATTATCTATTATATTTGATTTAATTTCTTTTTTTCAATTTTTCTACATTAACGCAAAAATTCTGGCATTATCAATAATTGATTACTGAAGTATGTATCTTCGTTATCAAAGAATTTTTTTCAACACTTTAATCTTTATTTTAATCCAAATATGTAAATTCAACATAAAAATATCAAAATTTTTAAATTTATATAATTTAAAAACTTGTTATATTACATTTAACTTTTGTTTGTCATATTTATTTAATATTAAATGTATTATATACATGTATTATATTTTTTTTTATAAGAACCACAAGTCGAAATGCTAAAGGTCCACTATTAATATAATTACATTTAATGTAATGTATTATAGAATAAATAAATAAATAAATAAATTTTTCACTTCATTTCAATAAAAACATTTATTTTCAAAATTTTAATCTAGTTTTACAACAAAATATTTTAGTGATTTTTTGAAAATGAATTTCGTTTTTAAATTTATTTAATAATTTAATATTAATATTCATTTATACTGAATAATTTTACATTCTTGAAATATAAAAAATCCATAGGTTACTATTATTCATCATAGTTAAAAAATAAAGAGCAAAATAAAAACATAAAATTTAATTAAAAACTTAAAAAAAAAAAGTTGTTGAGTAGATAATAATAGTTAGGAATATATCAAAAAAAAAAATTAAAACCACAAAAATAAAAAAAAATAAAAATAGGAATTTAAAAAAAAAAAAAATTATTTAAAAATAAAATTGGTATTGAAAAAAAAAAACATGAGAAAAATTTATTTTAAATAAATATTTTGTTTTAAACATATTTTTATTTAAAAGTAAAACAAAAATGTAAAACAAGCAAAATTAAGAAAATGTAAAATTAAAAAAAAAAAACCAATAAAAAATTATGTTATGTCTAGTCTAGAAAAAATTTCATTACAATAAAAAAACATTAAAAAATTATTTAATTAAAAAACAAATCAACAAAACATTAAAAAGGATGATTTAAAAATTAAAAATGCAAAAAAAAAATAATCAAATAAAAATATTGTATAAAAAAAAATTTAAATATAAAAGAGTACATACATAATATATAAATATAAAAAAAGAATTATTAATACCCGAAAAAAAAAGAAAACAAATTTTAATAATGTTTAGGTAGATTTTTGAAATTTTTTTGTGGAAATAACAAAATAGGTGAAAATAACTTTAAAATTATATATATATATAAATATAAAATTTATATATGTATCTATAAGTATTTATTATGTATTACATAATATTAGTTGTAAAAAAAAATTATTGTAACAAAAAAAAAAATATAAAAAATGTACTGGAAATTTGGTAAAAACAAACAAAAAAAAAAATTCTATTAAATTTTGTATTTTATTTGAAAAAGAAAAAAAATATTTCTTTTAATTTGTTATTTTCATTGAATGCATAAAATATAATTTTTTTTAACATTCAAATTGTTTAAATTCAAATAATTTGGTAGTTTTTGTGTTTTTTACAAATCTTCTACCACTTTGTATAATATATATATATATTAAATAATATTTAAAGGACATGCTTAATAATATTTTTTTTGTTAAAATATAAATTTTATGTCCGAACAATATATGTTTTATTTTTAGATTATTAAAAGTATATCACTTTTAAATATATTAACAATTTAATAATTATTTTATTTTTTATTAATTAATCACTATAATTATTTTATTTTTATTATTATATCATTGTAATTTGTTAATTAAAAAACATCATTTTATTGAAATAGAAAAAGAAAATTCACTATAAAATTATGCTACGAAAAAAAAAGAAAATGGCCCACTTTAATTATTAAAATAAAAAATTTTAAAATTTGATTTAAAATTTCATTTTGTATAAAACATAATATTTTGTATTGTTTTTTGTTTATGTTTAAAATTTTATAAAAAGAAATATTAAAATATTATTTTAATTAATATACATATTCGAAAAATATGTAGTTAATAATAATTTACCCATAAAAGAAATTATTAAATTTTTATTTTTTTGTTTTTACCTACATAATTTTAAGTAAAAATTTTAACATTTTTGTAATTAAAAAAAAATCATCTATGACTTTAACCCATATATATTTTTAAAATATATTTAATGAAAAAACAAAATAACTACATAATATACACATACATATTTTGAATCAACAACACTATATAAATTAAGAAAAAAAATTTAAGTTATTAATCTACAATATTCTTTAATATTATTTTAAAATGAAGGTTTATAAGATGAATAAGATCAAAAATCGACAAAAAAAAAACCATTAATGTCATGTTTTATATACTTTTCTATTCAGAGTTCTATAATAGCGCTACAAAATAATGAGCATAAATTTACGTAGTATTTAAATATTTTTATTTATGTAGTTTTTTTTTTTTTTTTTTTTTTGAAATTTTTGAAAAATAAGACAAACTAAATATAATGGGCATTATAAAGTTTTGTGAAAAGTGCATATTATAAGAAAAGATATTTTTTTATAAAGGTTTGTTTTCTATTTTTAAACAAAATAAAACAAAAAAAAATATATGAAAGTTTTTTCACTAAAAAAGGAAAAATATTATCTCACTTAAAATTTTTTTTTTATATTATTTTTAATATTGTTGTGATTTTGAAGAAAAAAAAAATATAAATATATATATATATAATTATATGCAATTGTAAAATAATATATTTTAAATTATGAAGCAAACAAAAAAAAAAATGCATTTTTATTATGTAAAATCGAAAATTTTCTAATAATTATGCTTAACGTCCTATTTAATTAGATGTAGTAAATTCTTCTTTCAACTAGAAATTCAAACTAGATTTTAATGTTCAAGTTTAATAGTCAGAAAAATATTGCATACTTATAGGTAAGTAAATATTTTCGTCTCTTTTTTTATAATGTTAAAAGTTTTTGATCTTTATAAAACTCTTTTTAATTTTATCCCCAAAATCTAGAATTATTAAACAGTTTTATTTAATTCAAATAAATTTTGTTGTTCCGGGATCCCGTCTTAATTAATAAAAAAAAATAGTAAATAAAAATCTATTACGTCAAAATTTATTTAAAAAGAAACCAAAATTCTTTGTATATAGCAAGTAAATAAATATATTGAAAAGTAAAAAATATAAAACAAAAATTCATAATAAAAGTTATTATTTTATTAATTTTATATAATAATATTAACATAATAATATTAAATGTATTATTGGTACTATAACATTTTTCAACTCTTTTCGTATATAATACAAATACAAAAATATACATACAATTTCATATGCTTCATTTTATATTATTAAATTTCTTTTGCTGTATTATTATTTTTTCTTCAATAATTTTATTTTATTGAATAGCCTTTAAATATACCCGACCGGGGTTTATACACGGACATGATGGCCATTTTTTGCTGATTTGCCTAGATAACACTCTGCCGAAACTCGTTCTGTGAGGTAAAACTAAGATTCGAATACAATGATACCACTTACAAGTTTATTTATGATGGAACAAATTCAAAACAGTATAAATGTTGAAATTAAAAAATTGTATAATTTAATAATACTTACTCAAAAATTTTTTCATCATATTCAATCATAACTTCTAAACAGCTTGTTAAAATTTCATTTTCTTTCATTGTTGTATGAATATCAGCATTATTAGTAACAGTAAAATGAAATATTGTTGGTGTTAATGAAACAGCTAAACTCCGAGAATTTACAAATTGCAGAGGCATACGTGTTAATCTTAAAAAAAAAAAATAAAGAATTTTAGAAAAAACAAAGAAAAATTTAAATTTTAATATATGGCTAATAGGGTCATAATTTATTGAAGAAACGGAAACAATTCAACCGGAAACTGCCAATGATTTTAATATTTTAATAATAAAGTGTATTTTGTCTGCGTTTCTGTTTCTGGTATAATGTACGAAGTTTGAAATATTTTAAAGATAATCTACTCACTTATGCAAATGTCTTAATAGGTATGATAATGTATCTCTATTTTGTTCTGGCAATGATTTGACTAATTTTTGAAGCACAGTAATTTTCATTTTAATTGGAGCCAAAGCTAAAAAACAAAATATATACAAATTATCAAATTTAAATAAAATTATAGTAATATTAATTAATAAATCTTACTCCAATCTCTTGCTGCACCAATAAATAATTTTATTTCGGATGCATTCACTAATGGATCTTTAATTTCTCTCAAAAACAATTTCAATACACCAACTATTGTATGAATATCTCTAATATTTTTTAAACATTCATAATCATTTCCATCAATAAGGAAGCGTATCTTTTGTATTTCAACATGATTTCCTGACATTCTATATAAACCTTCAGTTGGTTTCTTTTTTGCCTTCAATTCAATTAATTTAACACATTCTATAACAATTTTTGGTATTGTTGGATAATCTTCATGTTTAACAACATTTTCTAGTTCAGTATCAAAACAGGGTTCATCTAAAATAAATTAATATTAAATTTTTAAAATTAGTATTAATTTTATTTAAAAAATATAATAAAATAAATCTGAAAATGAAAATTCTTTATTGTATAGCGAAAAGTTTATTCCAAACGTGAGACCATTAGCGAAAAGAGATCCAAATGTAATGACCAATTTCTTGAATAAAATTTGCTTTTTCATTTAGTTTCCAAGTAGGTAAGTCTTATAATTCCATTTAATATTTATGTATAAAGAATTTTCATTATTGAAAAATATTTTTAAAAAAATTTTAAAGAAAAAAATATAAGAAAAATTTTCATGTTTACTTTGATAAATATTTTGTTCTTTTAATGATTCCACTGTTGGACGATATTTAAAAAATTGAGTAAATTTTGTCCAAAATCCACTACCACTATAACCATCTGTTTGTGTTGCGTTCACTTCAGATAATTGTATTAATTTTTTCAATGTTCTTTTCTTTTCTTTATCGGATGGCATTACTGATAATGATAATCTATGACCTGATACTGGTGAATTAGTTACACTTGGGGGTGGAGGTGGTGTTGATGTATTATTTCCTCTTAATAATGTTGTTTTAATCATATTTATTGAATCGTTACTATCATTAAATTCTTGATTTAATCCTTGATATTGTTGATATTGTTGTTGAGGTTGTTTTTGTTGTTGCTGTTGTTGTTTTTGTTCATATAAAATCTGTTGTTTTTTATTAGTTTGTTCTAATTTCTTGACAGTATTCTCTAATTCTTCAATTCTTTCTATATACATATTTAAAACTTTATTATGACGTATTGCTTCATTTTCTAATATTTCAATTTTTTTCTGTAATTTATCATATTGTTCCATTGTTACAAATAATGGTAATCTTTGTAAATTTGATAATGATGAAGGTATTAATGATGATTTTGAATTTTGTCTTAAAAATCTATTATTTGTTGATGATGATGATGATGATGAAGTTGTTGCACGATCATGTAAAGAACTTGTTAAACTTTTTTTTGTTCGTTTTTCCATTTTTTTTTTTGTGTATTTAAAAAAAAATCAAAATTAAACCAATATGAATTTTTAATAAATTTTTTAAATAAAAAGTAAGGTTATGTATGAGTATTTATTTTTTTGTTATAAATATTTTAAAGGAACTTGAATATCTCAGTTTTTTATTTTATTTTATAAATTGTATTTCATTAAATTATAAAAATGATAACTAGCACTTTTACGTCCATGTGCATATAAATTTGATTTTAATCTTAATGAAATTTTCGAACAGTTATTGTAAATTTAAACTGATTATTATAAAAGAATTCAATACGAATATAAAACTTATCATATATGTATGTACATAAATAAACATTTATACAATAATGGCTACATATGTGTTATAAGAAAACTATTTCCATTGAGTTTATCTTTTAAGGCACTTTATTTTATTATTTTCTTAAAAAGCACAAAAAAAATATACTATAAAAAATTTCTGATAAGATAAAGATTTTCCTTATATATTATATACATATGTATGTATGTATATATGTATGTTTAAATACTTCATATTTATTGTTGAATTTAATTGTTTTTATATTTTTTAAATAAAACTTCATGTGGTTATTGCAATTTTTTCTATTTTTTATTTATTTAATTGAATTCAATGTTGTCTATGCGTTTATTAAAATGCTACTGTTATACAATTCAATAATAATGAATTTGTGACGTTAAAAAATAATTAGTTTAGTACAACAAGTTCACTCTGGTACTGGTATAAAACCTATATAATATACTCAATTCATATTGTACAAGATAAAATTACGAGTTAAAAAAAAAAATAAAATAAAAAAAAAATATGCTAAAATAAAATGTGACTCCCATATTTTTGTTAGTCATCACGTTTTTATTTTTTTATTTTTTTTTTACATATAAGAATGTTTGTAGTTTTTATAAGTGTGTATTAATTATAGAAAGAAGATGACGATAAAAAAAAAAAGTTCTCACATTTCAGTTTTGATGATCCAACACCAATTATTAATGTTGTTGTTGTAGATGGTGTTATATGCATAAATTAAAAGGTTTAAGTAGGTTTTTATTAATTTGTTATACAAATATTCCGGAGAGTGTTTTATAATGCAAATCGGATTATTTAATTTAATTATATAAACTTGATTTAAAAGGAAAGGAAAAGTGAAAAATGTTTGAACAATACTTTTATTGAAAAATACTTTATTCAAACATTATTCAAACTTTATTGAAAAATTTTTTATTAAAAAAAGTATTTTAGTTAAAGTTCGAATTATAAATACATAGATGTGCTACGGTATTCCTCTACTTACATGCACACATACTTTAAATTAAGCAGAACATGTTTTTTATTATAGTTGTAAGCTTTACTATTGAAAAATTTTTAAATTTTATCCGGCCCCAGTACATTCGACTATTCTAGGATATTTTTTAAATTCTATTAATAGTCAAAAATTAATTAATCAAAATCATCAACATTTTCTTATAGTTATAAATTGATATTTCTTATAAGTAATAAATTTTTTCAAATTTTTAAATTTAAATATGAATTATAAAATTCAAATTTTTAAATATTTATTTATATTACCTTTTTATGGAACTCCTTTTTATTATATTATAAATTTTTATTAAAAATTCAAAATTAATTTGAAAGTTTTTTTCGAATTATATATTGCAAAAGCAGTTTTACAACTAAAAATTTTATAAAAAAAAATATATTTTTCTTGAATTATACCTTTAAATAAAAAATACCTAACACAGTAGAGGGACTTAGCCTAGGTATAATATAAGTTTTTGAATAAAAAAAAATCGCATTGAGAATTTTAAATTATTTGATCTAACTTTTGTGGTTTTTGGTTTTTGTATTAAAAATATATATAAATAAATAATTTAGTGCAAGCGTGTGACATTCAATCAATAAAATTTAAAAAAATTTCAAAAAAAACAGATACGTATATGTTGTATTTTTTTAATATCCGAATAATCGGGAAAGATATGAAAAAGGCACAAGAATTGTATTAAAGTATGAGACTGCAAAACGATATCCATGGGTATATTCTTAACTTGGTGTATTTGTTAATATTTTTTATTAAATAAACTTATAGACACATGAAACTATAGGCAAAAGGAATTTCAAAATTTAACTGGGAACTAAAAAAAGCAAAAAATCACTTCAAATACTACATTAACCGACATAAAATCCAAATAAAGATTGATGAAAATTGGCAATACTAAAAATATTTAATTTAAATCAATTTAAATGTCACCAAAAATAATATGTATTCATTTAACAATAATCAATACTTATTAATTTGTTCAAAATTTATAAAGAATAATGAAATAAAACATAAAGCTTTGTTACACAAAAATTTAAAAATTTTGACATAGACGTTTTTATTAAGACCGAATTTTATTATTTCAAATTCAATTTAAATTCAAAATTCTCTTCTTTTGCATAGAGTGTGTTTCGTTCAAATATTTAACATGACTTAGTTTATATATTTGCCGCTATAAGCGCTATATTAGCTAAATATATAATTTTAACAAAATGTCACAAAAAAAAAACCAAACAAAAAAATAAACAATATAAACAAATCAAAATATAGTTGTCAAAGTGCTGTCATTTTTTTTTTTTTTAGATGAGAAAGTTTTATTTTTTTATTACTTTACAACAAAAAAAATTTTTTTTCTAAACTTTCGGATCAGTTAAAGTTGAGCTATTGGATTAATCAAGGAGAAATTTCGGTGTTTTCTTGAACGTACTTATATAGTGAAACTTTACTTTTTTTTTAAAACGATATACCGTGTGCTTGAATTATAACTGTAAAATTTTTGCAAAATTATGTTTTGGGCTTTGTATAAAATAGATTAAGACCTGCTTATTATGTGTTAAATTATAAATTGAATAGTGTTGTTTGACCATTTTACTAAAATAAATAAGAAATCAAAATAATTTTTGTATTTTAAAAGGAAACCAATATTATAATAGTTATGATTTGCGATCAGTTTTAAAAATATAATAGTGTAGTGACTGTAGTTGCGTGCCCCTCTTAATTTTTATTTTTCAATTAAATTAATAAAAATTCTGAGAAACAAGGGGATATTTTTTTTTCTTAACTTGCGAACATTTATTTACCATTTTTTTTATGATCGTGTAAATAACAAAAGAAAAAATAAAATAAAACAAGTTTTTTTTTTTACTTGTTTTTTTAGTAAATTTTTTTTTAAGTTTTTCAACTTAAATTCAATTTTAAGTAAATATTTGCAAAAGTATAAAATAGTATTTAAATATAAATTTAAGTGAATTTAGTAGAAAAAAAATTTTAAAAGAAAAATAAATATCAAAATGCCACCGTGGAATATAAAAAATTTAATTCTATTTATAAATATTTTAAATATAATTTTTGCATATCCAAATCCAACAACTAATACTGATTCTAGTCATCATCATATTATAACATCATCATCATCATCATCCTTAACATCAAATATTGATAATGAAACATTATCATTTTTAAAAGAACCATATTATCAAAGTGAAGCTGAATTAGAAGAATTATTTAAAACGCTTGTATTAAAATATCCAAAACAAGCAAATCAATATTCAATTGGTACATCATATGAAGGAAGACAATTAATTGTATTACAAATTAATGATGATGTTAAATTAAGAAAAGAATTAGTACCAATGGTAAAATTAATTGGTAATATGCATGGTGATGAATCAATTGGTAGACAAATGTTAATATATTTAGGTGAATATTTATTAGAAAATTATGGTAAAAATGATGAAGTAACAAATTTAATTGATACAACTGATATACATTTAATGCCAACAATGAATCCAGATGGTTTTTCAAAATCAAGGGTAAGGAATTTAGAATATCTGTTCATTTTAGCGAAAATTATTATTATTTAAATAATTTTATATACTTATTTTTAAATTGCTTATTATTTACTCAGATTTTTATAAAACTAATCAAATAATTAAGTAAATAAAGCCAAATGAAAGTTTATATTTAAAAAGTAATAATTCTTAGTGACTTACTAATAGGTATACCTACTAATTTATGTATTTAATACCTACTTTTCATTGGCCTCACAAATTCAATAAATTGTTCACGCTCATTAATCAATTAATTAAAATTGTTGGTGGGTAGGTTAACTTATATGATAATATAGACATGACTTGGACTCTGTTATTCGTGATTCATAATTTTTCGCACTACTTCTGATATTTATGATTAATTTTTCATAATTTTTTTTAAAATATAAATAAATTTGAAGCCCATATTCAAAAAATTTACTCCAAGATAAGCTGATCGTGAAAAAAATTTTATTTCTAAATTTGAAATTTACAATCATGATTCTTTTATTGTAAACAAAATATTATCACATTAAAAATATCAGACTCAAAATAAACGATAGATAAAATATATAGGCATATAAAGGAATTATTTCTAGATAAGTAATAGGCAGGTTTAGGTAAAGTAACTTCTAATTCAAATCTTATCAAATGTTTTGCAAATAAATATCTGATATATACACGAAATTAGGAAGCGAAAAAATTTTAAAATTTTTTTTTAATTTCACAAAACGCTCTTTTAAAAAGCCGGATATTTACATTTAAAACAAGCAAGTGTAATAATTTATAAAAAACAAATATAGAGCAAACAATTTATATATTTCATTAATGGGTCGATCAAGTGTTTTCTTCGTAAATTGAAATTTTCAAAACTTGTACTACCTTCTGCCTACTTATTTTTATTTTTGACTTGATAAATTATTAGAAAACATAAGACTTCAATATTATTTCTGAATCAAAAAAAATTCCCTGTAAA